TATATATATATATATATATATATAAAATTTATTTATATACTTCTATTTTTAATATGTAATAGGATTAGTACCAAGGAAGCCCCTGCCCCTGCTTGCGGCTTATGTCACGGTAAGCGTTGCAGCAGAAACTTTTTTTCAATTTTTCTCCCTCCTTCCCTCCTCTCTTACTGGGACTACTCCCTTAGGTTTGAAAATTTTTAAAAGAAAGCATGAATTTTAAAAGAAAGCATCAAGAGCTATTTATGTACTTTATATACACACAATTTTGAGTGTGTATTTCCCTAATAACATTCTAATAATTTAGTTATTAGGGTTATTGAGAGATTATTGAGAGCATTACCCTTAATAACATCTTAATAACCACTCAATAACCTACCAATAACTTTCGTTGTTCGCACTCATATTTTTTGTTGTTATTCGGAGGTTTTGTGAGATTATTAACCTCAATAACACTGATATAACCTTCCAATACCCCAAAATAACTGAGAAAATATTAGGTCAAGGCTCCGGATCATCCGGAGTCCACTAAGGAAACTTCACGTGTAAAGTGGACCAATCACAACATGTGTCGCTCTCCTATATGATTCTGAATGCATCTGGAGTCCTGACCTTATATTTTTTCTAAATAATTAAAGTACATATATAATTCTGTATTATATGACGTACGTAAATATTTTAATATAAAATGTGATTGGATCTAATAAAATTTAAAAACCTTAGAAGTAAAAATAAATAATACATATAAATTAATGAACATGTGTTTTCACCTACGACGTAGACATGTTATGATATTGTGTTTGTTTTCATCTTTTGGAAGAAAGGTGGGGATTAGGGTTGGGCAGTAAAGGAAAAAAAGAGCAAAAGAATCGCTTGCTCAGAGATTCGGTAGCCGTTCTTTTCTGATCCGTGTGTTGTGAGCCATGACGTCGTTAATGGACTTAACTCTCTCTTTCTTCTGCTTAGTTTTGGGGTCAAAATTGTAGCCAGACCTGCCCTCCGTACAGATTATTTTTTTAATGTATATATTTATTGTTATTATATTCCTGTCAGAAAATAATTCAGAGGGTATATCAGAGATCTTAGCAGAGGAATTTGTTGGCTTCTTCCTGCTTTTTTCTCTCTCTCTTACTTTATTTATTGTGAACAGTTATTTAGTTAAGTCTTAATGACAATTAACTCGAAGTTAAATAAATTTTATTATAAAACTTCGAGGAGTATAGTTCTTACCATTTTCTTAGGAAGCTTTTTATAAATTAGAGTTAATAAAATTTATTGATTATGAAACTTTTTATGAAAGTGATGTTACTGAATTACACTTTGGATAACAAATTTATAAGAAAAATTTTCGGAAAAATATTATATCAGGACTCTTAATGTATAGCTACATTCGGATTGGAATGTTCGGTTGTGTTACGAGAATGTTTCATATGCGTTATTTGTTAAAATGATGTGTTATTCAAGTATTATATGGTGTTATTCGATTGTTTTATAGTGTTATTGGAATATTCCCCCGCGTTACTTGATTTGAGGTTGTATTGTTTGGCATATTCCTCGTGTTATTTCAATTTCTGTTATGTTATCGGAATAACACATTCTCAAATCAAGTAATGTGGGTGAATATTCGAATAACACTTCAGCCCCAAAATCAAGTAACACGATGAAATATTTCAAAAACACCGCAAAATAATCGAATTACATCTTATAATACTCGAATAACACATCATTTTTACAAATAAAGCAGATGGAATATTCCCGTAACACAGCCGGATATTCAACTCCGAACGTAGCTCTATGTTAGGAGTCCTGATGTAATATTTTTCCTTCCTGGAGGCTCTGTTCTTAATGTTATCTGCAAACACCATCTATCCATGCTAGCTTCTTTTATATATTCAACCAGCTTGTACGAGGACCAATTAAGCCTTTGCATTCTAATAATTAAAAAGCAAAGTTGTACTAAGTCCCTCTAACGGCTTGAAGGTGTATACTATTATACATATTTCCATAAGTAAAAAATTTTGGAATTGAGCCACACACTTTTTTTTCCCACCAGAGGTCTTCAACGTATAAATTTTACTCTCAGGTACCACAAGTGTATGTGGATTTCTTGAGATGATATAATGTAAGAGACACTCATGCTTAAGAGCTTTTAAACATTTTCCAACACAATAATATAAATAAATCAGAGCAAGCCACTATAATAAACAAGCATAAAAATGTCGAACTTTTTGCGATCAACTGCGCCTGCAAAATTTAATGCTCTAGATCATGAATATCTCCATAAACATTACCAAAAAAAACACATGCTGTGGCTGCTTGTCACCGCCCCCGCATGCCTACATTGGCTCTGCTGGATGGCTCCTTTGGATGCCTCCTGCCACCAGCCGTATTACCTTATATATTTTTAAGAAGATTATTTTCAATTTATTTCAAACCAAACAGAAAAAAATAAAAGGTCCCACAATTATTTCATAATAAATAAAACATTAACTTCAAAATAATTCAATTATAGTACATTACCTTTATATTATATTTACTTTACGCCGCATTACTTTTTCAACAAATCAAACGAACCCTAAATAATTCTTCATGCATTACATTTGTCTTAAGCCAATCTTATTTGTTTAATTTTTATCAGTACCATAATTCAGTAGAATATATTCATTTTTTAAAATTTAGTTCAGAAAGTTAAATTTAATCTCTTAGAGTTAGAACTTATTATTTTAATTATAATAGATAATTTTTTAATGAGTATTAATATATATATATGAGAGAAGAAATTACCTTTACAGCATAAATTTTGTATGGATTTACATGTCTAATAATTAAAATTTAATATTAATATTTAAAATATTTTGATATTAACGATTTATCCATGAGAAAGTAAATATCAATTTTAAAAAGTTAATTATAATAATAGCTCAGATGAGATGTTATAAATTTAAGCGCGGGATATGTTAGAAATTGTGTGCTATGCTTGTAAATGTCCTGGACCAAAAACTATCCTCAAGCCGAGTCGAGTCGATTATGGCATGAAATGGATTGGGACTGGTCAAATCATAAGTTGTACATGTTCAATATGAACTTAAGTCGAGGTTTAAAATATTTGGCTTTTTAAAATTTTTGATGATCAAATTAAATTAGTATTTGACTTATTTATTTTAATTGAACCAATTTAAAGTTTAAATTTTGAACAGGCATATAATTTTTGACATAAAATTTAAAATTTAGTATGTACTTATTTTTTCATATAAAAATAGCAAAAAATATTAAAAATTTGAAAGAGTACTTTCTTTCTTATAGAAAATTATTGACATATAATTTTATAAATATAAATAAATAAACAATTATATAGATTTTAGATTAGAGTATAATTAGTTTCTATCAAATATAAAAAATAATATATAAACCATCAATAAATTTAGTTGCAATAAATTAATATAACTAAGTATTAATAAATTTATTTATTGAAATTTAAAATAAGAAAAAGAATATTAAATATATATCAAATTATAATAAACCTTTATTAATATATAAATAAATAAAATATGATTAGTTAAATTTTATTTAAATAATATATTCTATAAATGTAAAATATTTAATAAATTATTTATTGAATAATGAATATTTTTTTTTTGTTTATATTAATAAATAAGGTGAATTATATTTAAATATTATTTATTTAATTTTTAATTTAATAAATATATTAATTTAGTAATTTCAACAAATATAATCGACTATTAATGTGGAGTTCCCGTTATTCATATGCATTGGTTCGTTTACAGAACAATCAAAACAATCCCCTATCGCTTTCTATTCTGTCAAGACAAAACTATTGAGGGATGAGGAAATAAGAAGCTTTATAAGAAACTCTATCTTCTGAACAAGTTGGCAAAGGAAGAATAAGTAATGGCGAGCAGAGGTAGAAATGGAGCAGTGAGGCAGTACAACAGATCCAAGATTCCTAGACTTAGATGGAATCCTGACCTCCAGCATTGCTTTGTTCACGCCATTGAGCGTCTTGGAGGCCTACACAGTACTGTTTTGCTCTATATTTTCTTCTTCATTTCCCATTGTTTAGTTCTTATTTCCAATCATCAAAATTATGCAGAGGCTACTCCCAAGCTGGTGCTTCAGATGATGGATGTCAAAGGTTTAACTATTTCTCATGTCAAGAGTCATCTGCAGGTGCTGTTTGGTCTCAACATTCATGCCCTTAAACTCCTGTTTTTTTCTGAAAAGAACATTTTTTTTTTCATTATGCAGATGTACAGAAGCAAGACGAATGATATAAGCAGACAAGGTAGATTAAAATGCATTGTTCATTAGCTCTGTTAGTTTTTGACAGATCTTTTGGGGTATTGGGCAAAATTATGAAACTCATTTTCATAAAAACTCAATTCTGTAAAATGAAATTCAGATACCGCTACATTTATCTCGTTATATAAGATTTATGTTTTTTATCACCAATCTGAAGCTGCAGCTGAAGCCATTCATGTTAGTTGGCTTGTTGCATGATTTGCAGAGCATTTACTTCTAATTGGCTAACTTGCCTTGATTTGGTTATCTTGTACTTCTTGTATTTTATTTATAATTAAATATTTTTGAGATTCACTGCTGCTGTAGAAGTACTCATTATAGAAAATGTCCACTTTATTATATATATTCTCCATTGGTATGAACAAAGTTAAAATTTTATGCCAATTATAAGTATTCAAGCTTTTTAATAAATGCATTCTTTTTGTTTTTCTATTCTTCTCTCACATTCAAGGTTTTATCCATATTCTGTTTAACTGCATGAGTTGTGTGACTCATCAGAAAGGATGGGGGACCTAAAAGCATGAACCGGGTCCTCAAAGATAACCACATTCCAACCAAGTGGCTTGCCCAATTTCTTATATTTAAATTATATATATATATATTTTTTTATGGAATTCTAATAGAATTCAACATTTATTCTATGCATCATATTTATGTGTGGTTTTTTTCTTCTTTTTAAGTAGGCATTTATATTCATAACACCCAATTCTTATGTATTTACATATCTAACATTTAAAACTTCAAATTTTGCATATCTAAGAAGTTAAAATGGTGGTTTTTTTTATGTGATGTGAAATATTTATGTGGAATCAAGGTAAAAAAGTGAACTTTAGGTTTTAGATATGCAAATGCGTCGGAGTTGGTTGGTATATATGTAAATTCCCCTTTTTTTTAAAATTAATCCTACACTTCATAAAAGTTAACATGTGCTGAAAATCAAAGCTAAGTCCAACAGTTGTCGATTTTGCCAGCAGATGTTGAACCCTTTCAAGATGGAAAACGTTCATGCGGAGGCGATGACGAGCAGAATAATGATGATGGCTTTTTGCCCTCTTCAAAGCCCATTGAAAGCGAATCCTCTCTCCCTCTCCTCAAAAGGTTTGTTAAAACAGCAAAGCTACCAACTTTTCTAATACAAAACACTGGAGCCTAACAACTGTATAAGTATATAACATTCTATTCCGTTAATCTGCACTGTTACAATAAAAAAGACTTTTTTTCCTTTAACATTCTATTCCGTTAATCTGCACTGTTACAATAAAAAAGACTTCTTTTCCTTCAACAGAAGAATGGAGATTAGCAATGGAATCTGTGGAATGTTCACAGCAACCCGGTACAACTTTCATGATTACAAGCAGAGAAAAAATCAAACTTCTGGCTTTTACATGGTTGAAGAATCTCACTGTTTCAAGGTAAATTGCATAATGTAGATGGGCAAAGGCATCTCTTATTTTATTTCGTTAGCTTTTTTGTCCCTGCCTACAAACTTCTGGCTTTTACATGGTTGAAGAATCTCACAGTTTCAAGGTAAATTGCATAATGTAGATGGACAAAGGCATCTCTTTTTTTATTTCGTTAGCTTTTTTGTCCCTGCCTTTTAAAGGAAGAAGCTTACTTACACTTCTGAGCTTATTCTTTATTTTAACTGAATTAGTCAAAATCTTTACTTGTAGAGTTTTCATATAATTATATCTTTTAGCTCTTCTAAGATCTATAAATCTAACAAATTACAATTAGTTTTGAGATGAATAGAAAATCAAATTTCCTAACTTTATTATTAGACGCCCTTACACCTTAATTCAATCCTGAGTTATTGAAAATTTTCTTAAAAGTTTCACTATCACATTTAAGGGATTAAATTATAGTAATCTTTAATGAAACACATTACTATAAGTTAAATTATTTATTTTATGAAATAGATGAGTTACTTTAGGACAAGAAACATTTAATTTTGGGGGAATTGACACGCCTAAAAATGTGGTGTGTATATATATATATATATATATATACTCATTTTTCTCAAAATGACTTTAGCATATTGATATGTGTACTCACCTCACATTCATATTAGCATTTGAATTTGAATTTATTCTAGTATGTTTAATATTCTTGCTGAAAATGTATCACTTGTATAAAAGATTAATAGATTTCTGGTTATTCATGAATTAATCGTGCTAGTTTTATTTAATTTTTTATGTTAATATAATATCAGTATAATCTATCAATTTAACCATGTCTATTGCTGCTTTTAGATGAATTATCTAATGACATTAGTATAGCATAACCAATCATAAACAACTGTAGCTAATATTTGAATGTCGAGTAATAAAAGTTAGCTAACAATAGCTTAAATTTTGATCAAAATTCTTTGTGAAATTTCTATTACCGTTTGTGACACTTTTGTTTCTAGTATTTAGTTTTGAGAAGTGATGATACTTGAAGTATTGCTGCCATATTTTATAAGTTTATCACAAGCAATAAAGAAAGAGCTTTTTGGTTGTTGAACGTAAAATCTTATCCTCTTATGATAAATTCGGTTAAAATCATTCAAACTCGGAGTCCGGGAAACGATATACCACAACAATGCAGTGCATGATGAAATTATATGAACTTGTTTTGTATTCTCAAAGAAAGACTAACATGTAAATTAAAAGGGAAATATAAATTTTATTAATTCCAAAAAGTTCAATGATATAATTAGACTAAAAACAGAAAATTAGTTGAATCAAAACAAAAATGATAACACTAACAGTTAAAATTCAAGAAAAAAAATGCAATAGTAAAAACAAAAACTGAAAAAATATCAATACTAGAAAAATTAAGTTGATAAGCATGTTGCGGCGATAATGATTCTAATAGTGACCGATTAGAACTTGTTATGCAAAAATATCAAAGAACAAACTAGTAAACAATAATTTTTTATTAAAAGTATAAACGGTATGGGAAATTGGGCATTTAATATGAACAACAAATAAAGACAATCACTATATGCATACTTAACACTGTAAGACAAAAAGAGTGATAAACATCAAATATGTATATCAAATAAAAACATTTAATATTATTCAATTAAATTTCTTATTATTTAACTTTCATTTATATTCATGTATATTTGGTTTTAATAGACAGAAATCGGAAAGATCAATGCTAACCTCATGAAACCCGACGATTTTCTGTAGAGTTATCCCTCTATGGGCTAGTTGCCCTGGTTAGTCAAAATCCAAAAGATTTCCACCGACCTATATACAATTACACACAAGCATGTCAAATGGTTTCCACATATATAATATGTAAGATGTATATAATTTCACGCAGACTTGTGATATGACGAATGCAATTTTATACAAATGCAAAAAAAAAAAAAAAATCTTAATGGTAGGATTAATTCAAATATGGAGGGAACTTTGCAACGATAAATTAAGACAGATAATGATCTCATCACATGTCTGACACATTTTAATGGAAAAGACATTTATAGATTATAGAATTATAAGTGTAAAAATTACATCTTTGCTCCTTGGAGTTATAGATTATTATTATCTTCACTGACACGTTTTTGTGTAATTGGTGCCTTTTCATATGTATGAAATTTTTTCATTTATTTGGCATCTTCTCCTTCTTGAGTCCATCAGGCGAGTTGGCCGGCCTGCTGGTTGGAATGGCCATCCAAATGATTTGTCTGACTAGTCTCTGCTACCATCAACTCTCATCTATATCCGAAAAGGCGTCGGACACTAATTTCTAACACTTCTCGAATATTTTTCGGACACGCACTATGAATGACAAATATCAATTAAAGTCAAAATTTATACAAGTGGATCTCTCTTCAGATAAATTAGTATTATTGGTGCTTTTTATATGATTTATAGATTTGGGAGTTATAAGCATGATACAAGGATTCTTGTGCTAAAGATGGCAACACATGAGAATTTTGTGCTATGTATGTAAATCTACACTTAAAAATGACAACTAAACTCTCGTTTCCTAAAACATATATATAATCATTTGAAATGCAATGCAATTTTAAAATGATTCATATCAATTGGCAAAGGAACTATCTCATTGGAATGACCATGCATTTGGCTCATGGCGCGTGAGTCTAGAGAGACATTGAAAGAAATGGCATGTCCTGCCAAAGTTCTCTATTTCATGTGGCTCCGTTTTGGTTAAAAATATGATCGATCTTTTGCTATTTTTCCTTACGCACTTGATCTTCGATTATTTGTGATATTCTGATGATTATTATATGTTGATTTTTGCCGATCAATAGATCCCGAGTAATCCAACTAAATTATAAAATTCATCGCATTTCTACGAAGAATGAATCCATGATCACTTATTTATTATCAAAATATTTATGCATTAAATTATTTTAGCAAGTTATCGTATTCATCGAGAGGACTTTATTCTATGTACTATTAGTGGTCCATCTTATATTTATCAAGCCTTCAACACGACAATTCATAACAAAATACAACCAATTGGTTTTGATGATTTCTATTCATTACTTTATAATGATAAAGTAAACCTTGTGGATGACATTAATAAAAATGAGCATTCGTGTTGTTAATGTCATACTCGTCAATGTCCTACTTTATAATCTGAAGCTATGGCTGGCCTTTCTAGGATCACTTCTGTATCTGAAAAACTTTAAATCGATCCCAATTGGTGCTACTTGAAAATCAAAATCAGGTGCTTTGCTGTCGAAACAGTCATAGTTCGTGTCTTCAATGTCCTACTCATCTATACTAACTGATTCATTCGGGTTCTCCACAAATTGAGAATTTTCATAGGAATTGTAATTCAAGTTAAATTAGTTCTTATCAGTTATGTTATCACTAGAGACAGTCAAAACATGTCTGAAATCATAACTCTAAGCAATATATGATCCCAAAGGGACAAAGACATAATCTTATAGAGTTAACGGTTTGAGGGATTTCCCCTCAATCGGAAACAACCAATCTAGAATAAGCAGCCCCTACTCTACTCTTCCACTCGTCAACCTTTACTTCTTCGGTGATCTTTTTGCATCTCTTATTTGCACTACTTTTTTAGTATAATCGACAATGTTGGCTTGCAGGCTTCAGGCTTTGAGTGGAGGCTTGCATTGAAGCGGTATGAATCTAATCTAATATCTTCTTAGAGGACTCTATCTAAACTGTACTCCATCCATCATCGACCGCGTAGGGATTAATTGGAACAATTATATCAACCAAAATCATATTGACAAAAGCTTTCTCTGGTTCTTTTAAAAACTCTTTCAGGATTGTTATGTTCCCATTTTTAGAGCTCCTTTCAAGCCAATCCTTGAAGCTAAAACAGCCTTCTATGGTGTTCCCGAGCAACCTGTGATATGGGTAGTTGATGTGCGATCGGCTGGCACTAATAGTAAATATGCAGTTTGATCCTAATAAAAATAAATTCAGTATAAATAATTTTATCTTTTAAAATCTCTAAGCTGTCAAATCCATAATAATAACGTAAGTTTATGTATCACTCAAGTAATAAATGACTCTATGGAGTCCTAAGTATCGATCCCACAAGGAGTTGGAAATTCTTATGGTTATAACGTCAAACATAATATTCAAACTATAAAACTTAAGTAGACAAGACAAATTTAAAGTAAATTTATTGCGAGCTAAAAGAAACGCAGTTTAAAAAACTAAGTTAAGTTAACTAATCGTTAAACTTCAAAAGTAAACTTATAAAAACTAAACAAAGTTTTGAAATGAAGAGTTCAAATTTAAGAAAACATCATTCCCCTTACAATGAGCTTATGGAATGTGAAGAAAATAAAATCATTTAAAATACATACATAAAATTGTATTGTGTCAAATAGAAGCAATTTATTCTTTACCCTCTGAGAGTGCATAAAGAACATGGACTAATCTAGAGTTTGGTCCCTAAATCTGTGGTTATGTTGAGAGGATACTGACTCTGACTCCAGAGCTCTCACTTCTTCCTCGCCTGAGGGCTAACAATCTCACTTTAGTTTCTAAGCAACTTGACCAAATTGGGGATTTTAATCTGTCACCTTAAAATCTCTAATTATGCTTCCATCATAGTATATTTCCCTATTTATTTGCATGCAACCCCATGGAATACATTCTCACCCATGAAATTGAATGTGACTCTTACCTTGTTGTAGAAAGCATAGCCCTTTCAAATCATATGTTTCTCAATAAATTTTAAACTTTTAATTGGTTAGATCAAACAGTAAATGAAGTTTAGAGTTTGAATCATCACATTCTATTGAAATTTAGAAGCTTATAAAATAAAACTAATTCTTCACAAAACCATATCTCATTGTAGGGAGAAAGATAAGGACGATTACTAAGAATTCTTGAAAAGGATACGACAAAACACGTATTTCATATATAAAAATAAGTTTACAAAATAAATAAAGAACAGAACACAACTTAAACTTATCTCACACTCTCCCAAGAAAATACCTAGAAGTTCCCTTTAAGCACTTTCTCTCTTTATTTAATTCTCTTTTAGAAGTGTAAGGAAGAAGAAATTTCTCACCTTCCCTCTCCTCTTACAACCCTAGCAGAATATCCTTCTCTTCTCTCTCACACTAATCTCTCTCTCTCTATCTCACGCCCCCCATTCACTCATCTAGACTCTCCTATTTTAATAAGGGCTCAAAAGGAATTCAAAATTCCTTTCAATTTTTCCCCCCAAAAGTCGCACCTTTTTGCACCAAGAGATAAGTCCCCTCATCCAAGAAACATATCTATTTATTAGAGAACCTTCCAAAGTGTCTAGATGCATTGAACCACTCTATGGACATTTAAAATGTTTGGAACCTTAAAAATCTGCTAAAAAATAGTCACACTATCTTACTCCATATTAATTCGTCTCTGGCACTTCTGGCTCCAATTTGGAGCCTTTGGTGCCAGCCTTATGAAGTATAGGTTGTTCTCTAGATTCTGAAGCCACTTCTCTGTAAAATGGCGCCTCTGACACCATTTTCAGGCACTTCTGGCGCCAGCTCTTGGGAAAATGGCACCTCTGGCGCCAGGATCACGAAAATCTCTATTTTGGCTCCAAATTTTCTTTTTTTGCAACTTTTTTCTCCAAATGCCTATAATTGATATAACTGCAACAAAAACTTAAAAATACCATCCTTTATAGTGCAATATCACCAAAATAAGCTTGAAATATATACATAAAATAGTATATTATTTTGGTGTATTAAAATCCCCCAAAATTAAATGTTACTTTTCCTCAAGTGACCCTTTTACTACATAAAAATATGATTTATGGCAGAGATTAAATTATATACTTCTATATTTGTTTTAATAAATATAACAGTATAACTTAAGAAAAAAATTTAATAACATATGTTAAAACTAAAAGTATAAGAACATCTAGTAATCAAGTTTAAGAGTTTTGAATTTCCATTCATTTCAAGAAGAATTGTAATTTGTTATATTGAAAATACTTAGAATATCCACATGAAAAGGAATTTCATGAAAACTTTTTTAGTGAGGATGCTAGTACTCAGATACAAGTTTATAAAATGTAATAAATTCTTTTTCCTTAAGTTGATTCAAGTGAAACCAATTTTTGATTAAGCATCTCCTTAAGCTTCTCCTCATATGTTTTTCTTTACTTTTTATTTTTCTTTTCTTTTTCTTTTTTTTCTTTTCTTCTTTTTTTTTTTCTTTTCTTATCATTAGGATCTTTTTCAATCAAGGATCTTTTTAATCCTTTCTTTTCTTTTCTTTTATATGTGAGGATTACTATATTTGGATAACCTTTAAAAATTTTGAACTTCACTGTCCTCTTCTTAAAGTCAAAACTTCTTACTTTCCTTCACTTTATAAATTCATACTAGTTTTGAAGATTTTATATAAAGTCTCATTTTTTTCTTCTTACATGAAACTCTAAGATTCTTATTACTTCAACAATACAATTTCCTTTACTTTAAATATAAAAACAAATTCTTATTCTTTCGTACTAATATCTTAACTCTATAATTGAATTTCATTATTAAAGATTTTTGCTAAAATTTACCATAATATTTACAAACAAAAATATAGTTATTTAAAGTTAAACTCTAATATCCATGAATTTAAAGTTAAACTCTAATATCCATGGTCATGTTAAATTAATTTTTAAAAATATAGTTAATTGAGGACAAATAAAATTTAGTTTACTTCTTTTAAGGAAATTTTTCTTTCCACCAAACTTAAGAAATAATAAGTAAAGCATGTAGTACAAACAATTTGTATGTGAAAGCAGTAAATGCATAAAAATAAAACTAACCTGTAGAGATATTTTAATATGAAACTTGGCTCTAGATATTTTAAAGGTGCTGACTTAAAAAGTACAAGCTTTAAAGCATTATATGAGACATAATATATCAAGGATTTGCTAAGAAAAGATATATTAACGACATAAACAGTAAATTAAAGCAACTAAAAATGTTGAAAAATAAAAGTCTACAATTTACTTTTACATGCACAAGTTCAATAAATCCACAGATTAAACACATAATTGTTCCACATTTACAATCAACAATAAAACAAAACAAATAACATCACATAAAAACAAACATAATCTAAATAAAATTTACTCTTCATCATCCTCCTCTTTCTCTTCTTCTTCTTCTTCATGCACATAAGGCGTGAAACTGGGGCATGTTGGAAAATCTACATTACGATCACCCCTTAGAAATCTAACCATCGCTTGTTTATATGCAATATCGTGTTGGACTATTTTCTACTTATATTCATCATTGTAGGCATTTCTAGCTTCAAAACTTCATATTATGTTCTGCATTGCTATGAGATCTGATTGTTGAATCATTAACTGCTCCATAAAGTTTTCAAGTGTAACAGAACCAGAAGTAAATGGTCCTGCAGCTGATGTGGAAGGCTTATCACTACTTCCACTCCTAGTTTTAGCAAATGATTCAAATTTATGCACAATGGGTTTTCAAATTGGCTTTAGTGGTTGCAACACTTCTTCATTTCTACAAAATTCTACTTCATTTCTACATCTTCATTTCTACAAAATTCTACTCCTGATTGTTCACATAGAGTGAAAATCAAGGTAGGATATCCCAAACCATTAGGTGTCCCACTTCTAACAATGTTCTGAGCATTTTGCACAATAAGAGCACCAATATCAATTATTTTTATTTGCTGAATAGAGAAATACAACACTGCTCTTTCCTTAGTTACTTCACTCAGGTGATTTGTTGGAAGCAACATTGCAGAGATAAAGTAATGACATGCCTTAGATTGAAAATTCAACTTGGAAGTGGAGAAATTAACTTTGTGATTATTTTTAATTTTCCATTCTCCTCTTCCATTAGTCAGATAGGCAATCACTTCATCAAATGATGAATCAATCATCACAAATGCACCATACTCACAATGAAATGCATCTCTCAGTCCATATATTTCATTGATTCTTCTTCGAGTAAATTCAACTTGCTTACCTCAAACAAAGTTGTGATCACCTGTTGTCACTCAAAGATTAGCGTAGAATTCTTGAATCACGGGAACAATGGCTACTGCAGTGAAGTATTTCCCACTTCCGAGCAATAATCAGCCTTTTGATTTCTCCTCTTGGCTTCAAAAATGCTCTCTCCTGAATTAATTTCCTCGAGCCCATTTTGGTATTATAGTTATGTTGGGCCTTATAATTCTCAAATCTCCTTGCATTGAAATCTATCATAGGCTTTCCCCTCTTTACTCTTAGAGCCATAAGAATTTCTACCGAAATTTAAATAAAATCCAAATAAACTCACAATATCAAAAATTAAACTCCAAAAGTAGGAATATTTTATAAGAAGCTTTTCACCATGGGTTCTCTTTAAACTTCCTCAAAAAAAAACTTTCAAAGAGAAGATGAAATCCAAGACTTTTAGGCTTTGAAATCTCCTCAAATCTACCAAATGTGAAGCCCTAGGTTGAGTTTCAACCTTGGTTTAGACGTAGGAGATGACCTAAGCAGTAAAAATAGGATTTTACGAGTGATTTTTTGCAGTTTTAAAATGATTTTGGCATTTTCAAAAAACTGGCGCGAATCTGGAGCCTCTGACGTCGTTTCTCTGTAAAATGGTCAGGTGTCAATCGGACGCTTTAGACACTAACGCCAAAAATTTTTAGATTTCAATTTTCTTCGAAAACTGTTGCGTACCGCACCACGTCAACCTCTAATTAACTTAATTAAACACATATGCTCATAATTAAATAATTTTCTAACACATAATTTCACAAACAATATAAAACTCACGTTTATATATAAAATCCGAACAATTACAAACTAACAGTTTTCAAGCCAACACACTTAATTCAGCATTGAAATCATGACAACAAACCAAAGTTGAAGCCTGAATATCAAACATTTAACAATAATACATATAAAGTTCTGCAATAAAAGT